CCGAGTTATCCGGAGTGCCGGATTATCGAGAGCCGAGTTTTCGAGGTTCTACTGTATTGGAAAGTGACTTATTACACACCTAGCTTATTTAATTATCAATACAGTGGTGCCTCGTATAGCGTACTTAATCCGTTCCAGGTGCACGTCCGTTAAGTGAAAAGTCTGTTATACGAAACGCATTTTCCCATAGAAATGCATGTTAAAACATATAATTCGTTCCACAGCATAAAATAACCGTACTGTACCATTAAAAAAAATGGAAATGGAGCAGTCACCAATTATGCCGGGTAGTCAGAGGTTTTGAGAAGGAGGTGGAGGAACACTTTCCTCACACATTCATAGAGATACAGACTTTTTATACATTGCAGCAGGTCTCTTTTTATTGTTTTTTAATCGGAGTCAGATTCAGGAGAGGCTACCGGTGCTTGCAGGGTCATCTCCTCTTGTTCCATTATTTGTTTTTTGGCAGCTGGCTTCTTGAAAAACATGTCCAAGGTGGTCTGTTTCTCTCTCTTCTTCAACACCTGTCGGAAATGACGGGCAAGGGTGTCATTGTAGAGATCATTGATCCTGTTTTTGCCAACTTTCACACCTGATGATTTCTTACTTTGTTTCAATTCAGTAGCGTAGCGTAGGGGGGCAGGGGCAGCCCGCCCCGGGCGGCACTTTTTAGGGGGCGGCAAAATTTGACAATAATTAATAATAATATCTTGTAAGAATTTGAACCATTTTATTTCGTATTTTCGTCCATCTACGATTCGAACCGAGTGAAATGAGCACGGAATAGTGGGAATAGTGTTTTTTTTTTACTCGTACGATTAATTCGTACTCATATACACCTCCAATATCCAATATGGCTAAGTCATTTAGATTACTTACGTTACTCCTACCCAAGTCTCCCTAGTCGCTAACTGTAACTGGTTTAGAACCAGCGTGCACTGTAAATTATTCTTCATTGCAAAATGATATACTCATGCGTCAGGAACTTCTGTTCGAACAAACCTCATCTGCCGTCAGAATCGGCGAATTCAAAAAGGTGACAACACTAGCACGGAATTTTTCATTAATTATTCTGTGACGAAACTGAATTTTAGTCTTTTAAATTGAGATACCTAAATAAGGGAGCGTAGAAATTTTCCTCCGCCCTGGGCGGCTGACACCCACGCTATGCCACTGTTTCAATTGAAATCACCTTTCTGTTTTTTTAGAAGCCATGATTTGCACAACACTTGAATAAATGTAAATCCCCTGCACTGAGGTGATGTACTGTACGTAATAAACAAGGGAGTAATCCGAATTCCAACGGGAGCTCTGTACTTCAGATATATTAATAATATATTCTAATAATACTAATATATTATAAAAATAGCAGATTGTCATTAGCAACGGCAAAAGAGTGAAAACATCATTCGCACTTGTTCGCAGAAACTCTGTTGTTCTCCTCACGTAACTGCCGAACGGAAAGTCCGTTGTTCGCAGCGTCCGTTATTCGAGTCGTACGTTATACGAGGCACCACTGTATATATATTCTGTTTTTGTACGTCATCTACTTGATAAAAGAAGTAAGACCGAAATACATTTTGCTTAAGTGAATTACATAGACTGGGTGTGTGATAAGCCTGTTCATTAATCATAATTAACTAAGTAGATTTTTGTAATTAAGTAATACAGGCAAAAAGCTTATTAATATGTGGGAAAATGATTTTGCGCCTGTCCTAATAGCTTACCACAATTTTTCTTACGTGTAGCACCTGAATACGCGTTAGTTTCCAACAGAAGCACAGTGGGGCCAAATACCAAAAAGCTGGCCAAAAGTCAAAAGCGTTATCAATTTGGCTGAAAGTCAATATTCGAGGGTTTTTGGGATCGCTGATTACGAATCCGAAGTCAAAATTTGAAATAAAAATTAAAATGACGGATTTAACACGAACCACTTTTATAGAAAAAGTACAGAATAAATCCATATATTGTTTAATATGATAAAACATACAATCAGTTGATTAAAAGTTCACGCATCGTCATCCAAAGAATAATTTGATTCACAATCAGATGATTCAACTTTGAAATCGCTGGAGCTTCCTGTACTTGCTGGTATACGTGGCGCAACTAACAATAAAACTGCTTCTGGAAGCAACGACTTTGAGTTTTTTCGAGGTAATTCGCACAAACTCGAAATAAACGGATCGGATATTAATAATAGGCGTAAAATAATGTCTTCCACTGTTTTCACTCGGGAACTTTTCTTGCAAAATCTTCTCGAAACTTTTTAATGTATTTATTAGTAGACTCTTGAGCGTCTTCAGACATCTGCCCTATCGGCAATACCGATGAATTTATCACTTCTGCACCATGAATCAATATCTTATGTGCCGAAGTTGGCATGCAGAACCACGGATATAACTGCACAAAGTAACGAGCTGTCTGTAAGGCATAATCTTGAAATTCTATGAAATCGATTTCATGGCCACACGAAATTGTCTGCAATATGACATGGAAACGCTTAATCAAGTCCTCATCAACCCCTGTAATAGCAGCAGAAATGCTTGAGTTTTCGAAAAATTGTCGTGCGGTATTCTCATCATTCGGCTTTGGTTTGATTCATTTGGTTTGGTTTGAAACCAGGCTTTGGTTGATCGACTATTAGACCCAATTCTATACGAAAACCCTTCTGTATATTCGTTATTCAGAATCATATTTCTTTATTTTCTTTATCACTATGCGCTTGCCACAGTTTGATTTCAAGCTTATATGCTAAATGCAAACAATATTCAAAACACCAGACAAATTCAAGAAAGAGAGCAAAACATTCCGCGTCGTTAATGTACAAAATTCAGAAAACTATGTTTTACATTGCAAGAACTCGAACCAATGGCACAGTTGCAGCTAGTTGCAGCTAGTTTTAATTTTTTTCATTCAATAATAGTTCGATCTACAACTCGCGATCGGTCCAGTCGCGGAACTCTACAGAATTTATGAACTCTTCTCTACGTGTTTAAAATTTTCTGTTGTAATCTTCCGTTCATTTTCGTACAAATCATTCGTTTACTGTTATCACATAAAGTATTATTATTAATTTTGTGTTACTTGATAATATTCTACTTACTTGCAGCTACAAATTCCATTTTTTAAATTCAAATTCGATTGATTTTTAGAGATTTGGCACCCTCTTGAATATAGCGTAGAAATCTTTGCTTACTGCACGACGCGTCTAGCTCAATTGAGGGTCCCCTTTCGACTAAACTACAATAGCGGGTATAAGGGATAGGGGGCGCTAAAGTCTAGAATTCCACCTAAGGACTCTTATCCAACCGAACCCACGACTAGAAATTACCGGAACTTAAACTCTATTTTTCGACTTTTGGCCAGCTTTTTGGGATTTGGTCCCACTGTGAGAAGGTTGCAGGAAACAAGTGTCGTGACTATTCTATTCTGATCTGTTCTTTCTGTGAGATCTGAATAGCCCCCGGGTCTAAAATAATAATTTAAAATTAAAGTAAAATCTTTACAGAAAAATATTCTTTCATTTTGATTGGAAAATAACGTTTTTCTAGCGTGGGAAAGCAGATAACAGAGCCACTTCCTTTGACGGAAGTATGAACATCCTATGTTCTTCCCTTATCTGTTAAAAATCTCGCTACGATGGGAAGTGACGACCCCTCATTTCTTTCCCCTTCCCATCCGTTCACATGGAAGAATTCTAGTATGATGATTGGTTGTAAATCCGAAGATATAGTCGAAGTTTAGGAGAGTTCGAGGAGTTCGTCAACAGATCCCAGATGAGGGAGACAAAATCCATACAGGCTCCAGAAGACCAACGGCCATAGTCGAATGCTATCGAGTTCATATTGATACAGAACATAGAAGATATATTAGATGTTGGGAATAGCAATGCCTCTCCATTAATAGGAGAATGAGAACCTCATAACCGAAGGTATATTCGATACATATAGAAGAAGAAGAAGACAACTAACCAGGTTGTATGTTTCTAAAATGAAATTGTGAGCTCTCTCTCTCTCTCGACACTGTATAGGTTAAGAATATCCGTTCTCTAGCTCGAAGTATATATCTAACCCTTCGTTTAATTTTAATTTGTATTAAGTTTGATTTGTATTTTTATTTACCTTATTACTTTATTAAATCGTTTATAGTTATTATATTAAGACATGTCTCTTGTTTGTTGTCAGAATCAGATCCCTAATCGCGTGTTAATCCGCGGAATATAAATGTTATTAACTGGTGTCAGCATCCTGACGTAGATCCGAATCCTACAATTTGGATCTATTACAAAAAGCCCTCCCGGTCAAAAATCTTGACATAGCATCGGATCAAAGGATCCTAAACCAAGAGAACTAGTTTCACAAACTAGCGCCGATTAAGTGGTATGAACATCTTAATAGATAGGTTGTACCCCCGGCTGATCTCACATTTCTGTGTACAGAAAATATCAGCTCTGTGGTGTGGTGAGTGTTTTAATATTTCATTAGGTTATGTTTAATAATTTAATGACTGAAAATTAAAAGAATACGATAGTTTTAAACTTTATTTTCTACACTACTCATCGAGTGTACATTACTTTTTGTGTTCATACATATAAGAAGTGCTTCTAGTTACTCAATATTATAAATGTTTTATATTCATTCACGTATGTAGTTATAGAAAAATCAGCAGTATCTCGATAAGCTGCAAATCGTTTCCTCAATTCAACGAATCTTCGTTGATTTTATGTATTCACGTTGAAACGTTCTCAATACAGTGATGTGTTCTGAATACTACTTGCATTCAGGGAACGTAATGAAATACATTTCGTACTTTGATACTTCTTTCCCAATTCGATGAGTGCAGAAAGAATAGAGTAAAGACTACTCAGCATCTAAAAGGGAAAATAAGAATGAAGTTAAAATCCACAATAATAAATTAGAATGCATTATTTAATCGAAACATACTTTAATCGGGAAATTCCGTTTGACTCGAAAAAATCCACCGAAAGAAATTCCAATTGGTGTTTTTCCGAATTTCTTCATAAAATTCAGGATCTGTTCAAAAAGTTTATAACTTTAGAATAAAGTTTATGAATAACGTAAAAATAAAACACTTAATTTACCTTCAATTTAAAAACCAGAGAGAATCCGCATGAGGAAAATTTATTAATCTCGTTGAAATTTCAGTAAATCTGAAATGAATGTTAAACATTATAAATTATATATTAATTTGGTTGTACAAATATTTCATTAATAAATCTCACCGAGGATGTAAATCTGGATAAACCGAATGAAATTATCACAAATCCGAAAATTGCGTATATGATAAAAAAAAAATGCAACCAGTTTAAACTCTGCCGGTAAATCGTAAAACAAAGAAATGGTTATCAGGATACTAAACCCATATAAAGTACTGCAGTAATTAGCAGGAAAATACATTTCAAGTTTATTATTGACGTTTCGAACGTCTTCCATTAATTCTGTATGTTCTTCNATTTTTTTAATTGAAATTTTTTAAATTGATATGAAAAGGATAAGAAAAAGTAATGAAATATTTATTTTATATATGCATCAAAATAGTATAAAAAACGTAACAAAAATTGTTTATCAATAAAATGATAATATAAAATGATGATATATTTGATAGAAAAAAACTATATTTAAAAAACAATAGCGAGACTATTATTTTACATGTAGATATTTCGACAAAATTCAATGAACTTAAATTATGATTTTGAACACGTAGAAACACTTTTGCGTTGCGCGTGATATTCGTTTTCGCAAAAAATTCATCTTGCCCATTAGTCCACCCCTTTATTCAGATTCAAGATCCGATGCTGGTCAAGAGTGTCACGATTTGTTATTTTTCAATTAGGTGTGCCACTCAATGAAAAAGGTTGAAAAACACTGGACTAGTGACTAGTGTAATGTGTTACAGGTAGGCCTCCTACAACGCGGTACCTTTACAACGCGTTTTCGCTCCAACGCAGTTGGAAAAATGCGGTAATTTTTTTATAACGCGGTACTTTTACAACGCGGTTTACGGTATTTAGAAACGAATTATCTTTCACATAACAGAAAAATCGCAACGGATCACGTGATACTAGCCACAGTTCGGTATACAGAGCTAAAAGTCTTTAAAAACAGCTGTTTGTCGACGTTGGTGTGTTNGTAAATCTGAAATGAATGTTAAACATTATAAATTATATATTAATTTGGTTGTACAAATATTTCATTAATAAATCTCACCGAGGATGTAAATCTGGATAAACCGAATGAAATTATCACAAATCCGAAAATTGCGTATATGATAAAAAAAATGCAACCAGTTTAAACTCTGCCGGTAAATCGTAAAACAAAGAAATGGTTATCAGGATACTAAACCCATATAAAGTACTGCAGTAATTAGCAGGAAAATACATTTCAAGTTTATTATTGACGTTTCGAACGTCTTCCATTAATTCTGTATGTTCTTCGATTATATATACGATTAGATCTTTGATCATGCTCCTTCCATGAGGAACTACATCGAGTTTGCTCGACAATGTGTTAAATCCGATAAACAAAACGAGAAAATAATAATAAAGAAAAAATACTGTGCAAAGACTTTGTCCTACTGAAAGAAATAACAATAATGCCCAATCGATATTGCAAAGAAGAAATTCCATTACATTTGCCTTTTCAATGGCAGAATATAGACAAAAGTCAAGCATGAAGTAAAATGTGACTTGCAGTAAAGCAATGACTGCGAAGAAAACTGCAAATCGATATTCTATGGAGGTAATTAATGTTTTTTCCACTTCATAGCAAGATTTACTACTAGGAAGATGTAAACGAATTCGTTTAATTAACGAGAACAGAAAAGTGTTGCATACGGTCACACCAATTACAAAGAACTGTATGATGTATTTGAAACCTACGAATAAGTTAAACACTTCTCCGCATACGAATTTATCGGAAAATGTCGTGGAGACTAATGCCAGAGTATTCAGGATAAAAAAACATTCGAGTAAATTTGAATAAAATTCAAAAAATCGAATATTCCATGAATTCTTACGGTAGTCACGTTTTAATATATTTAACCCGAGAATTTGTAATNCCGGGGCGGAGGAAAATTTCGCTGCCCCCTTATTTAGGTATCTCAATTTAAAAGACTAAAATTCAGTTTCGTCACAGAATAAATAATGAACAATTTCGTGCGCATTTCAATCGGTCCGAATCGTAGGTGCGACAAAAATATGAAATGAAATGGTTCAAAATTTTACAAGATATTATTATTGTTCATTGTGAAATTTTGCAGCCCCTTAAAAGTGTCGCCCCCACTACGCTTCGCCACTGGTCAGCTGATGAAACTTGTGTTAAATTCGTGGCTACCAATGGCTGGTTTGAAAAATTCAAAAAACGTCATTCAAACGCCAAGTTTTTCTCTTTTTAGAACCGAATCCCAGTTTTTGTATTGAGTTGGTGTCTCCTATAACGCGATTTCCCACAACGCGGTATTTTCAAGGAACGTATCTACCGCGAAGTNTTTTAATTTCATTACTTGAGTATTCCATAATTTTAAATTATAAATATTTTATTATTTTTGTTTGTGTACTCTTTCTGCCCTGTGGGCAATAATAGAATCAATATTTCCAAATTTAGAGTCAAACCTTTGAGCGTCGGTTTCTGACGAAGTCATTGTACCCTAAATATTGCTCGCGGGTTCGAACCTGAATTCTGACTACGTGAAGATTACCGTGTGTTTTACTTATCTAACACCTAAACAGGGAACAGTTTTCGCCGTTGTCACCACCAGGGAGATATTTCCCTGCTGGCAGATTTCCACGAGTTGCCAATGTCAACATTTTACTCCACTTAAAGTCAATTTTAGTAATACGCATGTATTCCATTTAAGAAAGTATTTTCTAAGTGCATTCAGTTATTAATGGCATATTTCATATAATGGATATCGACAACTAATTATCCTTAATTGTGTATGAGTATACATACTTATTTGTTTAATATGTTAGCTATTTTATTATAATAATACAATCCACTATGTCAGAATGCCATTTGTACTAAGAACTAAAATATACTCCGATAAAGATGCATCCTACTCTAAATGTGTCTTATATAAGATAGGAAGTAGTGTTGTTTTAATCAATATATTGCTTTGGGCAATTCTGTTGTATAACTTATTTGCTTTAGAAACAAATTAAGAAAATTACTAATGAATAAATAATTCTGTTGTCTTCAAAAGTTTAAGTTATAATTTGATGGATTCAATTTAAAATTTTCTGAAAAAAAATACCTGCGAAAATTTCGGTATGATTTCAATAGTTGTAACCAGTTTTTATGACTTTCTATGCTTACATTCTTGTTAATATTATATTTGTCTGCAGTAATTTCGTAGCTTTCCTTAAATTTTCTTGTGTACCAATTTTTTTCTTTGTGTACTTTCATAATGTCATTCTCATAACGTCTTCGAACTTATTAACGACGGTATTAAAACGCATGTTTGCAACATTAAATATATTTTAATGTAAGATTTACCAAATATAAAAATTCATAATTAATGTTTTAATAATGAATTGAATAATTTACATATTACAATAAGAAAAATGGTTACATTGATTATTACATTCACTGAATTAGTAACGCAGTATCAGAAACAATACACACATGCGGCGACATTGCTCAAAACTCGAAATGTTTTCATTGTTATGTGTGGCGGCAGAATAATTGTAACCTAGCGCTGCATCTGAAAATCCAGGTGACGCTGGCGCGACGGTATAAAAGCATGTGCAGGCCGTGTGCCATCATCTTTTCCCTCTCTCTGGGCTACGTTATGTACGATGGATGATAGCCCTAATTAAGAGAATCATCTGGAAGACTAGGTGCGCTCTTCACTTCGACAATAAAAAGTGAAACCATACCGTGTGTATAAAAAAGATAAAAGATGAAGCAAGCCTAAAGATCAAAACAGACAACAGACTCCTCACAGCAAGGGACTACAACCAGCTCTACCATGGAACAATAGATGTAATTTGGAAGGAACAGAACAGCCACTATATATTCAGAGATGACTGGACTTAGTTAAACTGGCACTTGCGACTAACAACATCCACCTCTTTTGTCTGCAATGTTACCTACAATGTATAAATAAATGTCAAATAGCTACAACTGTTATANGAAATGTTTTCATTGTTATGTGTGGCGGCAGAATAATTGTATCTTAGCGCTGCATCTGAAAATCCAGGCGACGCTGGCGCGACGGTATAAAAGCATGTGCAGGCCGTGCGCCATCATCTCTTTCCCCTTTCTCGGCTACGCTGTGTGCGACGCGTGCATGTTCTGTACCGACGCATGCTTGTAACCGATCGAGCTTTACTCAATAAGTGTAAAACAAAATTTTGTACGTAATTGTAAATAAATTTTCATGGTGAGATATAAGGCTTCGGTTATTTTATATAATCAACGAACACTCAAGTTAAGTGGTGCATCAACCACCACATCGGTGACCCGGACGTGATCCCTTGTTCCAACTAGAAGCTGATCCAACTACGTCGGCTGCTCCTCGTCGAAGTTCGGAAGAATAATAGTGCCAGAGACATTCACCAGCATTCAGAGCAATCAAGTAACAATTGATTTTTATTTTTACGCTTTTTCACATGTGCCGGATAACACGTATCTAACGACGATAACGGAATCATGGCGATCTACTTGCCAGAAATTGCCCGGGTAGCTGTAAGAACCTCACCGTTCTGGAAGGTTAAAGCGGCTTCCTTATTTAACTGTACTAATTAAAATTTATAAGTGACCTAAAGCATATTGATAATTTTGATAAATCTGAAAGAATGACTACAGACTACAACCGTTTCCACAAATTTAGTGCTCATTCTTTAAGGCTGCTATACACCATAAGTTAATCCTTTGAGACTGCCTGTCCTTGAGGAACTTCAGAATTTCCTATCGCCCACAAACGAAGAAAACATCTCAGCAGAGAGTGGCGCAGCTTGCCCCGGGCGCCACTGGCAGAGGAGAGCCAAATGGTTTCCAAGAAAAACAAAATTTGTTTCTGGAGGGGGAGGGGGCGCGAATATAGTGTCGCGGCCCGGGTGCAGTTATGTTCGCTATGCCATTGTGTTTATTATTACGTCACTGATGTTTATTGGCAACAAATTCTATTAAAACTCGCGGGAAAAAAGTATGCATAGAAGTCTATGGTGTAAATAGTAGTAGTAGTGGTATGGGTAGCACTGATCACAAAATTAATTTTTCATATGAATAATTTTTTAATGGAATTATTTCAGATTACAAAATTAATTTTTCAAGAGAAATCTTGGGCTATAGATTATGTTAAAAAGCATCAATTATCGGCGAAAGATCAATGGCAAGTCGATTTTGCTACCA